TAAAAATCATAGTAAGAACTATAGTTCGGGCGGAATGTTAATGATAAAACAAGAGAGAGAAAGAAAGAGAGCAACCTACATATACTAGCTCTCCGAGCTTTTAATTATCTTATTACAGCTATCGAGACCAAACTTTCCTCTTCGTAGTGTTGAAACTTCCTTGCTATCACTGGTACTTTGGAGTCGAAGTTTGTATCTTACTTCTATGTAGAGAGAACGCGTTGGAACTTATTACATATATCTATCTAATTCAGGAAGCTTCGGTCGTTGAATTTTACGTTTTGGTAGCTCCACTTGCATTGATCGAATTGCTTGCATAGAAAAATTTTCACCGCGTATATTCTTGGGTGTACTAAAATTATAAATAATACTCTATGAGCAATTCACAAAAATTGATATTAAAGTATAAGAATATAAAAAAAGATGACGAAAAAAGAGATGCAGTTTATATTCATTTTGTATTGTAAATTTTATATATAATACCTTTTTGTTTCTTTCTATTTGTTCAATATGAAAAAATTTAGCTGGAATTTTTATTACTTTTAAAGTAATTGGGGTGATTACGATAACTTTGGCCCTCTATTTGAAAGGTCGTTTCAGAAGACATTTTTGACAAGGAACACGGAAAAAATAGTAAAAAAAATTTCCGACCAATACCCAGGTAGCAAGGTGTCGTCATTATAACGTCATTTTAAGGTCATTTCTCGTCATATGACGTCAGTCAACTAAATAATGACGTAACACAGACGTGATATTTTTGACGACATATTCCTATTTAATATTTTATGAAAAATGTTACTACGCGCAACATTCCAAAATTTTACAAAAAGTTCATACTTCAGCCGCTAGTTCGTTTATTTACCGCTATGCGACGCGCGATGCGCATTATCTCGCATTTGAGTTTCAGTCATGAAAATTATATAAAGCTTCGAGCAACTGGCAAGAGATTAAAAATGTATTTATTTCTATCAGAGTTTATATAATTGCTGATGCAATCCCAATATAGGGAATTAAGACATTAGACTGATAATTTTAAAAGTATGAATAAATGTCCGAAAATGTTAAAATTATCCGTTTATATATAAATATATATATATATATATAAAATCATATTTATTACACTTTTAATTCCATTAATATATTCTATTGACAGAACTACAATTGAAAGAACGGAAAATTTTGAGAAGTAGCCAAAATTCACCAATTTTATACGTCATCTTATATTAGAGAAATTTCGTCATTTTATCGTAATAGATATGACGTCAACGGTCTGTAACTTAGGACCGTCATTCTAACGTCTCTTTTACGTCATTTCAAAAGTGAATTTGATGTAACCAGTGACTAAAAAATTACGTTATGATGACGACACTTTGCTACCTGGGTCGTTACGTGCTTGTAAGTGAGATTTACCGAAAATTTTCATAACACATCAAGGAAATT